AACCTGCCTGGTTTTCTCGTGTTTGTGCCTCCCGAGCACCACTTAGTCTACGCAATATTATTGAGCCTAGGACTTCAGATGCTATATTATTCAAGCTAATCCCTCTGTGATTATCACAAGAAGACTTGTCTCACTTCTTGTATATCGGGATGATCAGTGACTTACACCAACCTGATGGGACTTCCTCTGATTCCCAGACGCTGCCTAGAACCTCAGTTAACGCAGACAGTAAACTGTCTCCACCGTACTTAAATACCTCTGGAGTCAATCCATCAGTTCCCGTTGCTTTGCCTTGCTTCAGATTAGTGACAGCTTTAGTAACCTCAGTTGGGGACGCAGGGCCTGTGTCAATATCCCATTCAGGGAGGTGTTGGATGTCCGGCAGGTTAAGTGTGGCTGTGGGCCAATTAAACTGCTCCTCATAGTGTTCTTTCCAGCGCTCCAGTCGTCTATCCTGGGAGCTAATTATGGTGCCATTTTTCTCAGAGATTGTTTCGCTTATCATTTGCCTTTCGCCACCTGTTTCCCTGATAAGCCTGAATAGTTGTCTGGTGTTGCCTATCGCCGATGCCTTTTCCATCTCTTTCGCTTTTGTCGTCCACTACTGTTCATGGTTGTTGCGAAGACTTTTTGTTAGTCTTCCTTTAAGTGCCTTTCGCTCCTTATCATAATCGGAGCCCGCTGGAATGAGTTTTCTTGCGTCAATCAGTTCGGATGAGGTGGTAGAGATCCAGTGGCTTTTATTAACTTTAGGTTTTAGCTTATCAACAGCTTTCACAGCTGTGTCTACAGCTAACTGTATGTTGTGCCAGGCTACCTCGGGGGAAGTCCTGCTGTTGACCTCAGAAACTCGCTTCGCTATTTCTTCCTTAAATAAGGACTCAGTGTTTCGATCTAGTTGGGGACGTAACTGTTTCGCTGCCGTCAATTTCTTATGTCCATTTAGTCGTAAGCATAGACGTGCGCGAACCAGAGCGTGATCAGAGTCTACGCACGTGTTCCAGAAGGAGCGACAGTCTTCTACTGACCCTCGCCAACGATACCCTATGGCTATGTGGTCTATCTGAGTCCAGCGTTGATTTGGTGATGGAGGTCGTCAGGTTACACAATGTCTCTTTTTGTGCCTAAAGTTAGTGCTGACTAGGAACAGATGATTATGGGAGCAAAACTGAAGAAGACAATCACCGTTGTCGGTTTGTCGGCAGGGAACTCTGTACATACCACCTACATACATCTCACTCTGGCACAGCTTCCCTACTTAGGTATTGAAGTCACCTGCTGAAACAACTATATCTGAACGTTTTGCTTTTTGCAGCAAATTAGACAGTTTCATGTAGAAGTCATCTTTTAATTCATCCGAACTGCAGTCTGTTGGGGCGTAAGCGGAGACTACGAAAAGGCAACGACGGGTAGCGCCGTCTTTCCTTCTTTTAACGGACCCGTTCAGACGGACCGCACACATACGACTATCTACTGGGATCCAGTCAAGAAGTGATTTTTCCGCCCTAACACTCAGTGCTATCCCTACACCTGCGAGTCCTCGCGAGCTAGCTGAGGGGTCTCCCGACACCCTTAAAGTGAATTTTGCAGATTCACCTTGTTGACCGGGTGAGGTCAAGTGAATGACCACACTTGGGTCTTGTATGCGTGTCTCCGAAACACAACATACATCCATGGCTCTAGATTCCAGAGTTCTTGCTAGTGATGCCTGTTGTCCGATTTGGCAGAGGGTCCTGACGTTAAAAGCTCCTATATGAAGTTGGCGACGTGGCTTTAAAAGGCTATCTGGGGTGTTTCTATGGCTCTCATCGTTGTTTGTGGTCGCAGAGTGAAGTGAAGATGACTCACTAGCCTGAAGAATAGTGCTAACTGTAGTAGAGAAGCAAGATGAGGAAGGTGATGTGAGTAAGGGAGAGTGATGCTCAGGTAGGCTTCGTGTGCTTTTGGAAGTGTGTGGGTGGTTGTTACTTCCCGGCTGCCCACACCGTGGAAGTTGGTTGAGTCTTCGGGTACCTGAAATAGAGAAAAGGTTAGTGTTGCGTGACCGCAGAGCCCAGGGAACAACTGCTTGAGGCCGGTCACACGCGGCCTGTTTTTGTTTGTTCTTTTTTGTTTGGTGTGTCTCAGTAGCATATTTATCACTTCTGCCCTGTGACACGGCAGCAGGAAGCGCGGTCGTTGTTAATCCGGGTCCCGACCGATCCGGCATGATATTTTGTGAATTTGTTTGAATCATAGTATTGGATTGGGTAGCTGCTTTTTGTCTAACCGCTATCCAAACAACCTTTCTGGCATGGTAGGACCTACAGGAACATAAGTTCCAGCCAGTGTAGCTCGTTGGGTCATTGCGATATGCAAGCCCGACCACCACGTCAAGGTAGCAGCTATCGGTCGGGTATACACTCAATGGAGAAGGTTTAGTACACATATTAGAAGACTAGCATTCACTTCGTTATATGTCTTCAGTGTTCGTATAGGTGTTCCTAAAATCACTCGTCCATTCACTTTTTGAACACATCTTAAAATCGTATACATAAGATTTTCACGTAGATTCGAGTATTGAAATATTTTCAGAACCTTTTGGTTTTTCCATTCATTATCACCAATAATTTATCTTCACTTGTTATCCTCAATTTATATAGATTATATATCCTTTTAACTCTGCAATGTGATTCATAGAACAACGTAAAGAAATATGAGAAGATATATGGAATCATGACAGTCAGCATAGTACAGTAGTTAACAGTGGGCGTAAAATTCAACTGTTGGATTTCTCATTTTAATAAGGCGTTTTGTAATGTAGAAATTTAGGCTATGTTTGATGATTAATCATTGTCATCGATCATCTAACACCAGGTGGGACGCTGTACACCTAGCAGAGATACCTTAATAATGATTCATACTGGGGTTTCCTGTTACGTTTTTTAGCTGTTGTTGTTGTTGTAGCGAAACATCCAAATAATTTAGTGATTGATATTGTTATTAGATGGTTGGGGGCAATCGGCAGGCAGCCCTAAACTACTTAGGCTTCCTACTTGTTGGCACTTGTCAGAAAGGCATATCTACAATATTGAGACAACTAATGTTCCTTTTGAGATTCGAACCCGGGTCATCCAGTGCTGCAATCAGAGACGTTACCACTGAGGTAGTCAAGCTCGTGGTTGATCCCCTGTGTTGGTTGGTGATTGATATGCATTTTATGGCGAATATCATCAAAATTCTTGAACCTACTGATATTAGGGTGTGTGTTATTTAGTTGTTCTAATAGTCGTCGAGTGAGTGCACAACACTCAAGAAATAACCAGATAGTGCCTGTAAAAGACCTCGTCTATCTTTAGTTTTCACAACTGTCACTGCTATCTAACGTCAGATAATAAATCTACCAGCCTAAGTTGATATTTTTATTGTTGGTTTTGTAAGGATTCGATTGATTTGAAGATTGCTTGTTATTTCTACATAATTATCAATGTTATAACTCATGGTTTAATATATTTCTTTCTATGCTGCATTATTATTAAATGTTTACACTTCAATCAATAATGATAATATTATAGGAGTGTTTTCAAGTGGGTGATTTTTTGGCCTCCGGTAAACAACCTAATCTCAATGCTGATATGTTAACAACATTGGCCGATTGGTTGGTAGAAGTACAAGAGAATTTTGCACTAAACCATGAAACAATACACTTAGCTTGGGGTCTGTTGTATGCATTTTTGGATCGTGGTAAAGCGCTTGCTCGGTAATTAATTTGTTTGCACTTGTGTTAACCTGAGTTATATGGTGTTTTTTTCCTACTTTGCATTTATTGTAGGTTTACTTGAATGTGTATTACTGGAGTGACAGAATTAGTCTTCCTCAAATATATTTAATTTGATGTCGAGGCATTGGTAGTTTAATGGTACGATGCTCGCCAGTCATTTGGGAGGTCCGGATTCGACGCCCGGTTGACATACTCCTAGAACCTCACCTATCCAGTAGTAAGCCCGGAGACGAAGGGAGGTTGGGCGTGATGTATATCAACCGCACCTTGTAAATGCATCACTCCTACTAAGTCTTCATTCCATTCGGGAAGCAAGGATTGAAAAATAGCCAACTGTTGCAGCTTTATATAATTCGAGTTGTTTTCATAACAAATAGTGTGTTGCATTTAGTCAATTCATAGGTTTGAGCGAATTCTATGGTTGTAAGGGAAACAAATTAAGTGCAGGTATTTCCTGAGGAAATTGAAAGCCCTCATACTTTGGATATTTGTTTTCAGTAACTACTAAGTTTGCTAAATGGTATATTTTACAGGAACTCATTGTAATTCCATACTGAATAAAGATCACTAAGGATCTATAGTAAGTGGATTATCCTTCGTTTGATGTCAACAGGTCATTTATCTAATGATGTTATTTAAAAACAAATATTGTATCACTTTACATCCCAAGTGGAACATAGGGCTTCAAGCTTGCACTTTCACGTCTCAGTTACATATGGTGTTTGTTTTTTACGGGATGAGTTTGCTAGCCTCACTCCTAAACTTCCCTCTTTGTCCGACTTACAGCCGGTTAGGGGTCGTAAAGGTAAGCGCCGGCCGGAAATCGAGCCCTGGACCAGGTGTATAGTTGGCGAGCATTCTACCGCTGAACCGACGACACACAATATCTAATAATAAGTTTACACTAAATCTGGTTAACTGTGCTGTGCGATAAAAAGACAAATGTCTGTCGTGTTACGAAATAAGTTGAGATTGACTCGTTCATGATTTCATATGGGATAGTATATATCCTCTAGGGTATTAATAGTATTAACTACTTCAAAGTGATTTTTAAGCTGTACTCAAACTATACAAACTTACTTGTCCTCTAGTCAACTTTCTAGCTGACATTTTAATTTGAAGTTACTATCTCCTTAAATCCACTGTAAGTACGTTGATCACCTCGTGACAGACTCGAAAACAACTTTCATTACGTGTAGAGAATAACTTCAAGCTAGCCTGAATTTACTTAGCTTACCGCCTAATTGTTGCCTTTTTTTTCACGAAGGCCTATGTGTGTTATTAGTTTCATTTTACTTTTAGACGGGAAATTCAATTGATGGCGTGTGCAGCAATCATGGTTGCGTGTAAACATGAAGAACGTCAAATGCCTCATCTGAATGAATTTATGTATATAACAGACAATGCATATACAAAGGATGAGTTTATTGAAGCTGAACGTCGTCTACTGGTTGCGATTGACTTTGCTGTTCATCGTCCAAATCCATATGTGTTTTTGCGTCGTTATGCTCGGGTAATTTACAGAAATTCCTTTTGATTGTTTTTCTTGTTAATGTGGTCTACGAAGGATGCAGTTAAGCAGGTAATAGTGTAGGATTACTTCCGTTATTGTATAATAACCACTTTGGCTCCACATTTAAGAACATCTCTTCAACTAATTATGTCTACTTTTTTCTCGTCAAATATGACAAATGTGCAGCATGTATTGTTGCCTGTTGTCAACAGAAACTGGTACTTTTACCATTTGTATGTGAAATAAGCAAAAATCTTAGCTTACATTAGCAAATGTTAAATAACATTCATGAATCCTTTCGTATACAGACTGTTCAATACTTTGATCGGTCACTAGGGTGTAACCGTCCTTAGTGTAGACTTAAATTCTATCATGCAAGTTCGTAATATGGGCCACCAAGTTTGCAGGAGTTGAATGCAAGCTACAATACACTGAACAATAGAGTAAAGAAAAGTGCCACGGAAGACAAAAGAAAATATTATGAAGCTATGCCAAGTGAAGCACAACAAGCCGCAGGCAAAGGAGACCTCGCAACACTCTACCAAACAACTAGGTTCCTATCGGGAAAACGTTCAACACAAATTAAGCCAGTGAAGGATGACAATGGGAAGTCAATCACCAAAGAAGTGGAGCAAAGGAAACACTAGGCTTAACACTTCAAAAGACTCCTAAACCGACCGCCACCTACAACGTGCCCAATAATACCAACAGCGGAAGCAGAACTACCAGTGGACATCAATCCTCCGACGAAAACAGAAGTCCTAAAGGCAATAAAAATGCTAAAAACTGGAAAAGCAACAGGACCAGATGGAATCCCAGCAGATGCATTGAAAATGGACCCAGAGACATCAGCGGACTTGATGATACCACTACTAGAAAAAGTGTGGAAAGAGGGCAAGGTACCTGCGGATTGGAAGAAAGGCTACTTATTCAAACTGCCAAAGAAAGAGGACTTAGGTCAATGCAAGAACTGGCGCGGCATTGTGTTCCTGTCTACCTCAAGAAAAATACTAAGCCGCATCATCCTGGAGAGAATCAAACATGCCCTAGATGAAAAACTCTGACCGGAACAGACTGTATTCAGGAGAAACAAGTCATACATCGATCAATCCGCAACACTGCAAATCAACATTAAACAGAGCTTGGAATGGCAGTCAGTTCTCTCTCTCTGTCAAATTCATTGATTTGAAAAGGCTTTCGACAGCGTCGATCGAGGTGATTCGGCAACTACTTGGCTACTACCAACGGGTGCCGCCAACAATTATACACCTCATCCAACAGTTGTACTACAATGCTGCATTCCAAGTAATCCACAACGGGAAACTCACGGAATCCTTCGAAGTGAAGACGGGAGTAAGACGAGGTTGGCTGGTTGCCTACTATCTCCAATGAATTTTCTGATTGCGGTAGACTGGATAATGCGACAGACAGCGGGTAGCGAGGAAACAGACATAAAATGGACCCACACAGAAAACTTGGAGAATCTGAACTTCGCCGATGATATATATATATATATATATATATATATAATTTTGCTCTTAATACATTTAATTCTACTCCAAAAATATGGTCGAGATATGTGGCTGACACTTTCACAGTGTTAAAAACAGAACTTCTCTCTAGCTTCTTGACACATATAAACTCACTAGTAGAAGGAATAAAATTCACATTTGAATCGGAAAATAAACAAGGAAAATTAGCTATGTTAGATTGTAACATAAAACGAATAGAAGAAGGTGAACTACTTACTAGCCTTTATGAAAAACCAACGCATTCTAATAGATATTTAGACTTTTATTCATCTCATCCGTTAACTGTTAAGGCAGGCTTAGTTAAGTGTTTAACAAACCGAGCAATAGCACTAAGTAGCACAAAAAAAAACCTAAATGATGAAATAAAACAGATAGAAGAGGCGTTGTTGTTAAATAACTATCTTATAAAATTCATTAGGAAGATTGAAAAAAGCCAAAAGCCAAATAAAAATAATTGTGAAACTAGTAGTGATAACATAAATAAGAGAGAATATAAGTCATCCACTGTAATACCATGTAAGGAGGGGACATCTGAGACCCTACTTAGGATTCTTAATCAAGCAGGAATTAGAGTGGCATTCAAACCTACAAACTCAATCAGAGACAAGCTCTGTGGACTAAAAGACCCGGTAGACCCAATTAAACAAAGTAATATAATTTACAAAATATCCTGCAATGACTGTAAGGTCAACTATATAGGTCAAACTAGTAGATCGGGGGTAATCAGATTGTCGGAACATAAGAATTTAGCTAAGGTAAGAATGGTTGACCCCGAGAAGACAAGTTATTTAGAAAAAAGGTCAGCAGTTGCACTACATTTATTAACACACAACCACACAATAGGGTGGGATAGGGTTAAGATTCTAAGAAGTGACCTATGTAGGTGGAGAGAGAGATTAATTACTGAATCCATGTTCATCGAGTCTACACCTAATACATGCAACAGAATTGACTCAATGCAAATATCAGAAATATGGAAGATATTATTACCGCCAGTCAAATCAGAGAAGGATAATAAATGATCTCAAAATTCTATTTCAATTCAACCACATCACAACATTCTAACAAGTTGCTTATCATGACTATAAAAAACACTCGTCCTATTTCCCATTTGATTGTAATTGATCAATAACACTCATATTATTATTTCTGAATGTACATTATCCTATATTGACTTTTATTTATATATCTAGTCGATTTCACACATATATATAAATGAAGGAAAAAGTTGTGTGAGTAACGTGATATGATTATGAGCAATAATTTGTGCTCGAAACGTCATCAGTTAATATTACTGTGTAACACTGTGTGTCTTATCAAAATAAAATCTTATCCATAATGGAGTTATACTCAACACAGTGCCAAAGTTTTATACTTATATTTAAATATACCTGACTTCCCACAAACTGGAAGATATGCAAGTGAAAAGCAACAAGTTGACAGAAGAAGCATCAAAGGTGAAAGTGACTTCAGGTGAACTTAGAGAAAACAAAGGTGATGAAGATTCCTGGCCATCAGCAACAATCAACAAAAATGGGAGGAATCTGAAAGAAGCAAACTCCCTCACCTACCTACCTCTGAAGCATCGTCTCGACTACAGGTGGGGCTGGCGAGGATATCAAAGCAAGAATCCGGAAAGCAAGGCAAGCCTTCATTTCCTTCAAGTCTGTGTGGAGGTCAACATCACTCAACACGAAAAACGAGATTCGGATTTTCAACTCCAATCTGAAGTCAGTGATACTAGACGGATCAGAGATTTGGCACCGCGTCACGAAGGGCACTTCGAACAAACTACAGACCTTCATCAACAGCTGTCTTCGCTCAATACTACTCACGATCAGATGACCGGCAAGAAAAGGTCAGCAACAGGGAGGAATCTCTGGGAACGAACCAACCCGGTAGGAACCAATTGTGCAACAAATATGCAGGAAGAGATGGAAAATGATTGGCCATACTCTGAGAAAACAAACCATCACATGACATCACACGCTAGGCTCTCAAGTGGGACCCGAAAGAGAAGCAGCGAGTTGGTTGTCCAAGGGTGACATAGAGGAGGTCATGTAAAGAGGAGATGAAAGCATGTGGGCAGACGTGGAGCCAGGTGAAAACGTTGGCAGAGGACCGAACGCAATGGAGACGTGTGGTTGAAGCCCTATGTTCCTCTAGGAATTAAAGGAAACAATAATAATAAGCTTAGGGGATTCATTGTCGTGATATATTTTGGAATTCCAAAGAAACTGATGTCTTCTGTAAGTTGCAGACCTGCACTACTCATTTTTATAGTCAGAGATAGCACCACGTATCTATTTAGACCATGACTGACGTCTCGTAGGTCTCTTATGGATGAACGTATCAGTAACTAGGGGATAATTGTTGTAGCCTTCAAATGATAAGAAATAAATTGGAAATAGGAACGAACAGTTCGGTGAAGAGTCTCTTTTCGTGCACAGCCGACACTCTTGATGATGAAATAAAGGAAATTGTAAACGTATTATATTGTGGTGAGAGATGGTTGCTAGCCGAATTGGTTGGCGGTAATTGAGGTCAATGTTTATGTATCAAATACTAGTCATGTTGTGGTGAGAGATAGTTGCTAGCCAAATTGGTTGACAGTAATTGAGGTCAAGGTCAAGATGGACAGGCGGATACAGTTAACATACAGATGAACTGACACAGCCACAAGAGATGCAAGGTTAACTTTGTGTGAGAAACAACCAATCAACAGACTGTATTTTCTACTAACATTAACCTACAATAATGTACATTAAAATCTATAAATATGTGTTGATTTCCGTAATAAACGTTCTGTTGCCTGGCCCTTGTCTTCTGTTGTTACAATATGAAAAAGGATATACGGAAAAAACTTGCTGAATTCTCCATAACGAGGACAAATACAGAAGAAATGCTTGCAAACTACGCAGAAGAAACATATGTATGACTTTACTGTTCTAAGGAAACACAGTCACTAAATTACTGGCATCGAAACTCTGAAAAATAATAGCTAAAACATTCTATGCTGCAACACTATATTTGAAATTCACTGCTCATTATATAACTCCAATGTAGGTAAAGGATAAACTACCGAATCTGGCCACTTCAGTGTGCATTTATAGATTTAACTGTTATTTTATTTATTTATTTAAACGCATTAAGACTTGGTACAATATGGCACCAAGAAGGATGCGCCACACAATAATAATAAAACAACATAGATGAAAAAAAAGGAAGACAGGAAAAGAAAAAATATATATAAGTAGAGAACGAATAATGAACTTCATCTGGGAGGAAAACACTCATTCTTAACAGGTTCAAACAGTGTTCGTTAACTATCATCGGGAATGGAAGAAAGAAGGAAATTGCAACACGTTCGCCATTGATTACGATTCTTGGCCATATCCGATAACGTTTCGAGCCATCGATTTGAGCTATCTCTCAGACCCCAACCAGGGAGTCGTGACACACCAACCGATGCTAATCTAGCACAAATATCCTTCATCCCACGACGCCACGTCATGGGCTGACCACCTCTCCGCCTTTTCCAACCCGTCCCAGGGCTAGCGAACAGAGACCTGTACGGAAGCCTCTGGGGTGACATTCGCAGCACATGTCCAAGCCACCGGAGCCGGTGTTTCCAGATGACATTCAATGAATGGTGATCTCCACTGTGTTCAAACACACGCCGCCGAACCTCAGAATTACTCACGCGATGATGCCATCGAACGCAAGCAATCCTGCGGAGACAGCGGTGATCGAACACGCAGAGTCGCCTCACATCCTCAGCTCGGAGAGGCCAGGTTTCACAGGCGTAGAGCAGCGCAGCCCGCACCGAAGCATTGTATACCCGACCTTTGACAGCCAGGCTAACGTCGCGACGGCGCCAGAGGTGGCTCAAGTTGATGTATGCCACCCTAGCTTTCATTATACGGTTGGAAATCTCATCCGTCACCCCTCCGCCAGCACTCACACAACTACCTAGGTACACAAACTTATCGACAACTTCAAGCGGTTCACCCGCAAGAGTGAGTGCAGGTACAGGCTCCTGCCAATCTTGTAACAGTACTTTGCACTTAGATGGTGCAAAGCACATACCATACTTACAGACACTGATCGCCAACTGATTAAGTGCGATTTGGGCAGCCTGCATGCCATCGCACAGTAAGACGATATCGTCTGCATACTCGAGGTCGAAAAGTCTATCTCCAGGTAGCAGATCTACACCACCTTCACGCACATTCTTCAGAGCTGACTCCAGAATGTCATCGATGGCAAAGTTAAAGAGAAATGGTGAGATTGGACAACCCTGTCTAACCCCACTGTTGGTTGGGAACAGTGGTGATAGTTGGTTGTATGCCCTCACTCTACCTGAGGTGTTTCTGTATAGGGCTTTCAAGATGTTAACAAATTTCTCAGGTACACCTCTCTCTAACAGACAGTTCCAGAGCACAGTTCTGTCCAACGAATCGAAGGCAGCCCTAATATCAAGAAACACAACGATCGTTGGCCTGCAATACGTGTGGCGGTGTTCCAACAACTGACGAAGGGTGAACACATGATCAATGCATCCACGACCTGAACGAAACCCAGCCTGCTCTTCGCGAATCAATCCTTCGCGTATTTTGCACAGTCTGCGAAGCATGACAGCAGCCAATATTTTAGACGCAACTGGTAACAGACTGATACCCCTATGGTTGTCACAGGAATTACGTCGACCCTTTTTAAAGATGGGGACGATAATGGCTTCGTTCCACATTGATGGTACGCTCTCTGTCTCCCACACCCTCCTGAACAACCCAGTTAGAGCCATTATGAGAGTCTCGCCACCATCTTTAAAAAGAGCCGGGGGTAATTTGTTTGGGCCGGGCGCCTTATGGCGTTTCAGAACTTGGAGTTCCTTACGAACCTCCGCTTCGGTGGGTGGGTCGGTACTAACCGACCAAGGAGCACTCGGGCTAATGATAGTAGACAATGAAGCTGGTGGCCAGCTGAACTGCTTCCCGAAGTGCTCTGCCCAGCGTTCCAGGCGTCTCTTCAGGCTGGTAATTGGAGTGCCATCTGCCTCACAGACCGTCTCGCTGACACCTTGTTTCTTGCTGCCGGTGGCTCGTATGAGTTCGAACAACTTCCGACTGTTGCCAGATGCAGCAGCTGACTCCATCTCATACGCACGTTCTGACCACCAGGCTTCGCGGTCCTTACGTAAACACTGTCTAATCTTGCGCGTGAGCGCCTTTCGCTGATTGTTGTATTCACTGCCAGCCGGAATGGACCGGCGTTCATCCATGAATTGCAAGGAACTCGCAGAAACCCAGTGGTTGTTAACGGAGCATTCTTTCAAGCCGCAAGCGGCTACACTCGCCTTTTGCATGGCACCTTGCACATGAAGCCAGTGTTCATCTATACTACTTGGGGGGTTGCTGGCAAGCATTGTTTTCAACTCGTTCTGATATTTCAAAGAAGTAGCAGGTGCTACTAGTTTGCTCACATCAACGCTTAGACGACGGTTTTTACGAACCCCACCAAATCGCAAGACGAACTTGGCACACACTAACGCATGATCGGAGTCCAGGCATGTGCTCCAGAAGGAGCGACAGTCTTGTATGCATCCTCGCCACCGGAAACTGACCGCAATATGATCAATCTGAGTCCAAGCTTGGTTCGCAGAGGGAGGACGCCAGGTAGCGCTACGGCGATGGCTGTGCCGGAAGTTCGTGCTGGCTAGAAATAGGTTGTGATCCGCGCAAAGCTGCAGAAGACGGTCCCCATTATCTGACCTGCGACCATGTAGTCCCCACTGACCACCTAGACGACTCTCCTCTGAGCTTAGACGCCCGACCTGTGCGTTCAAGTCCCCAGCTAACACTACGATATCCCTCCGACCCGCCTGTTTCAACAGATCGCTCAGTTGGTAGTAAAACTCATCCTTCATTGCATCCGGGCTGCAATCCGTCGGTGCATAGGCAGAGACAACAAATAGACACCGCCTATCTGGCCTACTACTCCTTACTTTCGTATAACCTTCCAGCCTCACAGCACATAAACGACTGTTAATGGGAATCCAGTCGAGCAGTGCAGCTTCGGCTCTAGCGCTCAGTGCGACACCGACACCAGCTACGCCGGATGCTGATGCCACAAGGTCCCCGGATAAGCGCAGGTGGTACATACTACTAGAACTTCCAGATGGAGAGGACAGTCGAAGCACTTCACTGGGATCTTGAATGCGGGTCTCCGAAATGCAGCAGACAAGTGGAGGCAAGTTACGTAGGTATAACAACTCGGGGAGCCCACCGTCACTTTCTTGAGCATTCTCCAATGTGGCTAGGCAAAGAAGTCGTGAAGTCATTCAGGAGTTCCATATTTGCGCACCTTGTGGATACGGACCACAAGACTAATGGAAATTTCACCTTGAAAATTTTATACATGTTGCCACCTCAGCTCCCTAAGTCTGTACGCCTTTGATTGCTAAGTACAGTTGAGACAGTCGCCATAAAACATTTTCAACCCAATCTCTGTTTTCAGAAAACTCTTGTTCAATCCTTCTCCTTGCCCCCATGGCCTTCAGTCGGACAACTTTAAATGTCATTTTTGTTTCTATTGTTAACTGTATTATCAATATCGTACTGTGGTACAGATGAGTTTTTTAGTCTCACTTTCGCAATTTATTCTTATTCTATTTACATTCTCCCTGGTTATATTTGATTCTATTGATCTATATCGTTTCAAATGTCTATAACTAGTGGTTTATTATGTAATTGCAAAGCCTAATGAGAATTTCACCAGGAATACGTGTATTTGCTTACTTAAATCGTGTTCTAAAATTATCTCAATGGGAATATATAAATTATTTTTGTATATGTGTGTGTACACAGCAAAATAATAAATATTAGTTTGCAGTATTGTTCACATCATAAGAATATTTCAAAATAGTGATGAATCATCAAAATTGTAACTAAGGTGGGTAAAGATTTGTAAGTTTAGACTAAGGTGACGCAATATGAAGCAATGTTAAAGAAATTGGATTTTAATGAAAGAGCATGATGACGAGTATCCTCAAAATGAATTATGTGAAGAGGGTCGGTGGCACAGCGATTAGGACGCTCGCCGACCATGCACATGGTCTGGGGTTCGATCCTCGGCCGACGCACTCCTTTACCTCGCTAAGCCAGAAATAATGCTGATGAAGAGGAAAGGTTGGGCATGAGGCTAGCAACCCCATCCTGTAAAAATAAACTCTGCTACAGAAACTTCAAGCCACTAGCTTGAAGCCCTATGTTCCACTGGGGAACGTAAAGGGAAAAAAAAGAAAAGGAGGGGATGGGATGAGTTTCTTCTGTATACATAAATCAGGGTTTTCAATCCAGTTCACTAAGGCCTCGGTAATGCATACCGTTTTCGAGAGGCTTCTTCTGACTTTGTAGATAACTTCTCCTTGCATATCGAGTGATGATCAGTGTTGAATATATGTTCAGTTATAGCACTCCTTATTAATCCATCATAACCTCTCTGTAACCGTGTGGGATAATGTCCTTTGACTCTTTCTTTAGAGAAAATACTCATCGAACGACTTATATATCTCGCTTCACATCAGCAAGCGAAGTGATATATACACATAAAGAGTGGTCAAATACAATAGTTTATCTTTAGAGTTATTGAAGAAAGTTGGGTGGCAAGAGAATACCAATTGTAATGTAGAAGCGAAGAATTTTCTTCTCAGGGTGTGTTTGATATTCTCTTCAATACTGAACTATTAATTAGAAAGTGATTGGAAGTTAAGTGTGTCCAATTGGATATCAGAAAATAATCGGTTTCCTTTGTCTGTTTGTTTCTTTTTTAAGCTTTTTTTCCTTATTTTGATCGCTACTCTTTTATGTCTCCTTCCACTCTCGGCCTGCTTTAATATACGTACGTGTACGTGTCGATTTCGTAGATTTCCACGGTAGTCATCTACGTAATTACTGGTGCGTCACGTTATACTGTTCGAGCTCAGAATTCTATTTTAAAAGAGCTTTCGTTGTAATTCTTGAAATAATAACAGAATCATATACCCTAGGTAGTTTTCTACATTGTTAAGAATTGTAAAAAATTTTTATTCACATAATAATTATAATTTGCTACTAAAGATGGTATTTAAAAAACACAACTCTTTTTAAGGTTTTGGATGCTCACAGTGGACCAATTCAGTTTACCTCACGATTCCTCTTAGAAGCTGGTATGCACAGTCATGTGATCAGTTTAAAGCGTGAATCACGTAAAGCTGCAGCTGTTCTATGGCTTGCTCGAGTTGTTCTTCGTAATCCATCGTATGCAGATTGGACACGTAGAGCTGATGTACATCAGTTAAGGCAATTAATTCAAAACAATCTGTATGCTCAAGCTTATTATACTCATTGTCGAAATCAGAAAACTAAAATAACTAATAATAAAAATAATCCTCGAACAAGATTAAGTCAATTGGCTGGACAAAATGTTGATTCATCGAAATCTCCACACAATTTATCAGCTTCAAGTTCATGTGACTTTGATTGTTTTCAGTTTAAATTCACAGAAAAGCCTTTTAATGGTTTATCCTGGTAAGTATAAGCTGTGGTTATTTTATTTTTTTTTTGTATAATGTAATAGAGATATGTAACACTAAAATTATAATAGGAAAACTGAAGCTCTTGAAATTCATTTCTTAAATAGATTAATCAACGTTTTCATAGACGAGGTTTAATATTTTGAGAGTATCTGTGCGTCGGTGGCACAGTGGTTAGGACTCTCACTGACCATGCACATGGTCTGGGGTTCGACCCGCTGCCGACGCACACCTGATATCAATGGTCGGCCTGTTACATTTGGGCTACTGATATCACATGCTGAAAATTCCATACTTGTTCCAAAAATACGATGTGGAATCAAGCTATAATAAGAATAAAACACTAATTTTTTGCTGAATTTTGTTCATTATATCTTTGTGCAGCCGATAACAGGAGTTTCTTGCAAATATTATGTATACTATAAAAAAACACAAAGTTGGTACATTATCAGTACCAAAGGATGCGCCATCTGACTGACTGACTGGTTTCAACATAGAACTATGCATAGATGTGCAGCAGTTCGAGTCACCACTCTCCCTCCAAGTAGCACACAAAGCCAAAGGGAAGAGTAAATGGAGGTTCAAATTGAGATAATAAACAGAAGTGTGAGGGGAAAAGAATAGTAATATGGAAGAACAGTAAAGTTTTATTGGATATTATATATCACCAAGAGTGATGAATGCATCTGCGCTAGCCATTGAGAACAATGAGTTCCAAGGACTCTAGTCAGGAATTCTACACCTTCCTACTTGGCTGGCTCAAACTAACTGTGCCATACAAAATCTCACAGTTTTTGCAAGAGATGTGATACTGCTCAGACAACAACAGGTGGTTGTCTGAATGAGCCACGTTCCAACCCTTTGACTTGAAGTCTGATCCACAGGGCAGTAGAGCAGCGTAAGGAGCTACAATCCTATGGTTTTTGGTGAGCCAAACAGGTTCATACGCCATTCGATCCGTTCGGATTGTGGAGACTATGTACACCACTGTAGGTTTGGAGTCAGAGTTTCTCAACTCCCCTAAATAGGTAAACCAGCGTGTCCACCAGTCTGTTTGTAAGCGCCAGACGTTCTCAGTCATACTTTCACTTTTATGAAGAACATACCGGCAGAAAAAACCTGAGTCAGGATTTATAGGACATTTAAATATTGGTTCCTAACAGTGGAACATCTTATTATATAACCTAGGAATTCAATTTTACAAAGGTACTCTAGTCTTTTAATTATGTATTTGTTAGCTGTATCAATCGCAGAATATATCCTTTCTATTTGTACTTTCATGTCTCCTCGATATGTATAATCTGAGTCAGAATTCTGACTTTTCATTATCTTGGTATGCTTAATCTGTCTCTGTTTCAGTTGATTATTATTATTATTGTTTTTTTCCATAACAGTTGTCCTATGTTCTTTATATTTTTCTAGTGATAATTTGGATGAGTCACTGAATCTGAATTTCTCTACTGTTGTACGTGCACCACATTCAACGCCCAGTAGTAACAACAACCTCCCTGCTTCATCATCTGTGATTGACTCTTCTACTGAAAATCACGCTTTTGATAATCTGGATCCGTCAGTCAAATCTGATCTTGAAGCAATGCAGTTAGAAGAAGAACAACGTCAACCATTGTGGCCTCCTATTTTAGAGCATATAACTGGTTACAAAGAAGCAGATTTGATCCCTTTAGCTCTACGTTATCATTCAATCGCTTTAAGGTTAATAGCTGAAGTTGCTCGTGGAGGTCGACTGGCTTCAGGTAGTACTGATAACTCTGATATGCCTACTAATCTAAGCGTAAAAAAATCGGATAATGACGGAAATGTTCATATAAATGAAGCTGACGCAGAAGACCCATCAGCTGCACAGAATTCACGTTGTGTATCACCTGGTGGGCATTATTTACGTCGTCAGTCTGTCAGTAAATACTGTTCAAGGTAAGATTTGTCAGGCCATTCCGCTAGTTGTTTTTTTCCTACTCTCAGCATATATTCTTGGTTATTAGTTTGAATCCTGCTTTATGCCTTTATGTTTGAACATATTGTCTGTGTACCGGAATCTATTCACATACATTTGTTCACTCCGCAGACTGACTAATGCCTACTATCTTGATGTAGTACTCCGTCTTGTTGTCAATACAAATTTAAAGTGTAGTTTAAAAACTAACTGTATTGACCTTCATCCGCTGTTTAACATTTCATCTTAAAACAAAAGTTCATAGTATAATAGTATGGCGTAATAGTTCAATACAGAGATGGTCAGCACTGGGTATATATCATCATTTTGGAGTCGTTGAAACGTCTCTTATAGAAACATTGTGTTTCTTTCCATGTTGTCGAGTTTTATGCATAGGCGGGTTGGCAAGACTACTTTGAGCGTATACAAATGTTTTAAAGTTGAAGATAACATCGCTGAACTCATACTCTCACGATTTAATGTGACCTGAGAAACAACAATCCATTTTGTGCTAAAAAGAGGTGCTTCCATTATTTCTCCATCTAAGTGATTGTTTTGTGTAATCCAGCAACTTAAAGCTTTTTATATCACTTTCGTGTGTCATTGAAATATGGTACAGAAAGGATAAGCAACAGGGAACACTGGAGAAGAACGGATCAAAGACATTTTACCCAACAAATATGCCGACAAAAATGGAAACGGACTGGACACACGTTGAAGGTACCGGTGAGTGACATCATGCGTCAGGCAGTCGAGTAGAACCCGACGGGGGACACAACGAGGATAACAGTGAAGAGGAGATCGTGTGAGGAGGAAATTGGAGCTTATGGTCAATTGTGGAACCAGCTAGAGACGACTTCAGAAAAGAAGATGAAATAGAAATGTGCTGTTGAAGGCCTATGTTCCACTCGAAACCCAAGGGAATAATAATAACAATACATTTCTATTTATAAGCGCAATAGCCCAATCCATGTTTCGCAAATGGAAGTGAATCCCTAAGCTGAAGAACAAATTGATTAGTTTGTCTAGTAGGTCATTTTACTCGGTCTGAGAAGTACTTGTACACTTTTCAGTCCCTTTTTATTGAATCTACTATTTATAATCATTGACCAGTGGAAGCTTAATTCCAAGTACAAAACATTCAGCTATTCTGACCATTGAATAGATAAATTCTAGGTAAATTTTCCAGAAAGTCATTGATTTATATATATTCTTTATTTTTGCTAACTGTATTCATCATTATTATTGTTTCGCCTACGACTTAAAATTCCAAATTCCCATTGAACAACTAAACACTCTCCACATACTACTTACTTAATAATATCTTGGTGGTTACTACGTTTCCGTCTTTGTAGTTCGCTCGCGATCCCCATTGCTGAGCTGTATAATATTGTGAGTAGTATTGAGATTAGGCACAGAGTATTAGGTAAGGAGGATAAGTCTATCGATCAAGTTGTGAAGCCACTCCTGTTGAAAAACAGCTAGGACGTGTCGTCTTGGGCATGCTGAGCCATCGCTTTTCTCAACCGGTAATGTTAGCTGACATTGGATTAGGTTAGCAAACAGTTAATGATAATCAATCCAAAACTTGACATCGGTTGGTTTGAACTACGTAGGGAGATGTTGACTGCCGGCATGGAGTTCTCCGGATTCTAGAGACTATTAGTGATATGGCTCAAAATCGTTCACAATGATAGAGATACATTTACTCTTTGTAATCTTGAATATACATTAAACTGTCATGTTTTTTCCGCGTTACGATTCTACTTCTCCCTCATATTTCTGTGTATTATAGTCCTTTGGAATCCTTATTTCTCACTACTTTGTCTACCTTTTTTGTGCTATAAGAAGTGTAGCAATTTGAATTGTTTCACTTCTTAGCAAACGTCTATGCTGAGACTCAGTGAGTCAGGTTTGGACGTATTGGGTGTATCGTACGTGACTCTCTGTGTGTTGACATGCAGAGTCTTCTGAACACTTTGAGCAGCAGCAATCTTTGAATGTTTGGCATGCGATTCGCTCCTGTCAAATGAAAGATGATGCTACGGGACTGGGTTGGACAATAGTGACTCCTAGCTTAAAGATAGATAGGAGTGAAGTGGTAGAGCGTGTTGACTACTTCACTTATTTGGGAAGTTGCATCAACCAACGCCAGCCGGTTGATCGCTGACAAAATTTCAGCACGGATACAGAAGGCTCGTTTCGCATATGCCAACGTATGCCATCTCTGGTGTAGACGTGATTTTTGACTATTCATCAAAGGACGTGTTTAGTACTCAGTAGTTTGCCTTGCCATCCTTTACGGCTGTGTGACATGGTCATTGAAAGTGGAAGATATGAAAAGGCCAAGTAGCTGTTTTTGATCATAGGTGTCTGCGTTCTATCTATCTCCGGTGTTAAGCGGTGGTATAACAAGGTAAACAATATTGAGGTTAGGCTTCGATCGAGTGCTAGAGGAAAAAATCAGTCGTTGAGGTTGTGAAGTTACACCGATTGAGATGGTTAGGACATGTGTTACGCATGCATCCCTAGCCATCGCCTTCCTCGACAATGGGCAATGTTAGCTGACATAGGATCAGGTTGGAAAAGAGCTAGTGGTGGTCAAACCAAAACATGGCCTCATCAGTCAATGAAATCCACAACAGTTAGTTTAAGCCAGCCACGTAGGGAGATGTAGAATACCTGGTTGGGATCCTCTGTACGGTAAGAACCAAGGCCTCGAGACGATTGGTGATATGGCTCGAACTCATCGTTCTCAATAGCTGGCTCAGATGCACTCATCACTCTTGGTGATTTATCATATCCAATAAAACTCAGCTGTTCTTCCATATTACTATTCTTTCTCCCTCGTACTTCTATCTATTATCCCTCTTTTGAACCCCCCCCCACTCAGCTCTCGTCTCTTGCTTTGTGTGCTACATGGAGGGAGTGTGGCGACTCGAACTGCTGCATGCCTGGGAAAAGTTCTATGTCGAAACCTGTCAGTCAGTGTGACATTGCTTTCACTGCATATCACTTAGACAGGCTAAAGTGTACCATCCTTGGAATATAACGTAAATAATCCTTTTTTCCCCATTTAGTCCCGTTGTTTAGCTAGTCCACATTGTTCTTTTCTATATGTAAGATGGCGATATATATATATTTCGTGTGATTACTCATATTCTCTCTTATTTCTTTTAACCATTGTATGTCTTTGTTTTTTATTGCAGTGCATTTTTAAGTGTAGCTGATGCTTATCCTCAGTTGGCATTTGACAATTTTGTCCCATATTTCCCATCCATCCAATGCACAGAAACATGCCAGTGTTTTGTTTGCGTTAATCTCATCCGTCGAATGAATTAACAACAACACCAAGAACAACAATACCAAGCCTTTAAGTGTAGGATAGAGAAGCACTCTCTTTTCTTTATTTATTTTATTTCCCCTACTTCAGTTAATCTTCTCAACTACTTTATGCAGCATTTTTATCTTGTTACTATTTTCTTTTTTTTATGATTATTGTCAATTTGTCTTTCGTATGTGGTATTTTTTATCAATTCATCTACTGGTTTTTATGGATTTTTTCTTTTTTTTTTACTGTTGTTAGTAAAACATTTGATTTTAAACGAAGAGCTACTCTCTGATTTGATGGTTTTTAATATTTGACGTAAATATCTATTCTCCTAGGATTTTCTATTCCCTGAAATGTGACATTATTTCATCAGGCTCCTCCGCCTCCTCCTCAGGTGAAGATGTTTTTGTGTACATAGGTATTCATGTAATCTCTAAAGCACACATAATCTTCACTTTCATTTTATATATATATATATATATATATATATATATTTATATAGACCCTCTATATTCTATCACTATTAAAAATATAACCTGTTTAAAAAAAAACAACTAATATTTGGTTATTGATTTCTTTTTTAATCAAAAACGAAATCCCCTTTTTTTTATCCTTTTCTCTCTCTGTCTCCCTCTTGGTCTCCCTGATTAATTAAAACAAAAATGTCTGTTTTTATTTTACGAAATACCTGTTATTTCTGAATGTGTGTGTGAAACTACTAATATTTACGTCCATCATCAAACATATAATATTATTATGTTTTTCAAATGTGTACTCACAATATGTGTTAAAAATTGATTTTAACATCCTGTTTGATGTGTGTGTATGTGTGTATTACTTAATCTGTACTCAGGTATTTTATTAGGTGTTGTATTTTTATTCGTCAAATACTAAATAATATTACTACTAATAATATGTTATGTAGTAGTATGTGTCGGTGTGCGGTAGTTAGGTGAATCATATAGTCACATTAATTGTATTCTGTTTTTTAAATCCTACAATTATTATAATAATTGTTATTCTAATCTAATCTACCGTCAAAAATAATAACGCATGAATAATATATCTGTGTGTCCGTGTCCGCATGTAACAACAATGTTATGTATCAATATCAACCTATGGAATTGAACCCTAATCTTAGCAAATCTTATAAACTGTGTTTCGTGAATGATTCTATGAATATATAATATATATGTGTGGCACGTGTTCTGTTCTTCCTCTATTTGTGTGTGTTTTTTCTTTCTTAATTAGTACCCTACATCTCATATTATTAAGACCGAAACGAAAGTACAGAAAGCGGGTATCAAGAGATATGCCCCACTATATTTCATACTTGTTTGTACGAAAGCCAGAATACTGTCCAAATGCCTAAATCAAAGCAAGTGGGAGCCTTTGACTTGAATTTTGATCCACAAGTCAGTGGAGGAGTTACGTTCCTGTGCTTATGAATGGCCGAAACAGGTTCGTACGGCATTTGATCCGTTTTGATTCTGGTTTGGAATGAAGGTTTCTTAGCTACTCTAGCTTGGTAGAGCAGGATCTCCCCCAATGCGTTTGTGCCTAATGTTCACGTTTTTTGTACAGAACACACATCAACAAAAGTATAAGTAATGAAAGTAAAACAGTAATTGAGAATTTTAGTCTAGAAGGTAAAATATTTTAAATCTTTCATGTTTTACTAATTCGTAAATAATGTAGAAAATATTTCTACCTACTCATCACACGTAGTCATTAGCGTTTTTTTTGTCGGTTGTGTAAACCAACAGGTTATTGTGATAAAGTTCAACAGTCCCAAATCTCTTGTCATAAGGTTGATTAATAATACCGATGATATTTTTAATTCTGGTGAACTTGATTATGCTCGAGAATGCGGAGAGTGAGACGATCTGGAGCTTTGCCGACGATGTATCTCTAATGTCACATATACTCGAAGATATACAGGCGAAAACTAACAGGAAGGCAAAAGAAGCAACAGTGAAGACCAGAACTTCAAGTGAAAATACAGAAGAGAGGGAGTGACGAAGACAATCAACAAAAAGCACCAATTACTGTCAACGAAATAATTTTGAAAGATGTTACTTCCTTCACTAATCTACGCAGTGTCGTTTCAGCTACAGGCGATGGCACCAATGAAGATGTCAAAACCAAAATTAGAATATCAAGACAGACCTTCAACACTCTGAAATCAGTTTGTAGATCTTCTCCACTCATTCAGCATGAACAATAAGATTCGAAATTTCAACATCAATATCAAGCCAGTTCTTCTATATGGTTTAAAGGCTAGGCGCGCGAGTCGCAGAAAGCATTTTGAACAGATTGCAGACTTCCATCAACAACTGTCTTTGCTGTCTCCAAATTGAAGACCAACTCTGGGAACGAACCTGTAAACAACTTACTGGTCAGCAAATATTCCAAAGAAAATGGAGGTGGATCGGACATACTCTGGTGAGATAGTTGAGTGACATGAGGTGCCAGGCCCTCGTGTGGAGCCCTAATGGGAAACGACGAGTTGAGCGTACGAGTGCCCCATTGAGGAATTCGTGTGAGGAAGAGATGAGACCTTATGGGCCATCTGAAGAGGCCTTCAGAGAACTGGATTGGACTTCACCGACCCCTAGATTAGAAATAGGAAGTAAAGTGGTAGAGCACGTTGACCGCTTCACTTAATTGTGAAGTACCATCAGCCCCAACGGGTTGATCTCCGACGAAATCTCAGCACGAATACAGAGGGCTAGGTTCGCATATGCCAGTTTACGCCGTCTCTAGTGTAGGCGCGATATCCGACTATAAACCAAAGGGCGTGTGTACTGCTCAACAGTCCGCTCCTTCCTCCTTTATGGCTGTGAGACCTGGCCATTGAGAGCAGAAGACATGAAAAGATTAGCTGTCTTTGATCATAGGTGTCTGCGTTTTATCTCCCGCGTGAAGTGGTATAATAAGGTGAGCAATATTGAGGTTAGGCTTCGGTCGAGTGCTAGGTGAGGAGGGGAAATCAGTCGACGAGACTGTGAAATTACATCGACTGAGATGGTTAGGACCTGTGCTACGTATGCCTAGTCATCTCCTTCCCCGACAATAGGCAATGTTAGCTGACAGAGTCAGGCTGGAAAAGAGCTATCTGCGGTCAAACGAAAACATGGCACCAGTCAATGAAATCCACAACAGTTAGTCTAAGCCACGTAGGAAGATGTAGACTTCTTGGTTGGAGTCCTCGGGATGGTAAAAACCAATGGTTGGAAACAATTGTTGACATGGCTCAAATATTCAACAAATGCCATCCAGCCACAAAGTTCACTTTGGAAACTGAAAATGAATCTAAAATCCCTTTTCTTGACGTTGAGCTTACAAGGAGAGATGACGGAACTTTAAGAAGGTCAATCCATAGGAAACCGACTTGGAACGGACAATTAACAAGTTTCTACAGCTGGGTATCAATCAGTCGGAAAAGAAACCTAATTAAATCCCTTGCCACTCGCGTCAGGCGCATCTGCAGCTCCGACACCATGGAAGAAGAACTAAACTTCCTGAGGGAAATCTTCATACAAAATGGCTACCCACCAAGATTTGTAGACAAAAACATCAAACAGAAAAACCAAAAGCGAGAGACACCATCCGTGCCAAAAAAGATACTTTATATGAACCTAGACTTCAAAGGAGACCTACTTAGTGACGTCCTCAGAAGGAGAATTTCCACCTCTTTAGGAAGAACTTTCCCTGCGGCAACACTAAGAATAGTGTTCTCCAGTCGCCCGCTGATCTGCAGAAACCCAAAGGACAAGATTCCGCACATGACCACTTCTATGTGTATATATCAGTTCACCTGTTGCTGTGGAGCCAGGTACATCGGTCGTTCAACGCGCATCCTGTCAAAAAGGGTCAAAGAACACTACCCAGCGTGGCTACAGAAAGGAAATAATGGCCATATAAGGAGTGCAATAATCGTCAACACTGGTCATTCCACCTCAACGAACGCCTCCTTGAAAGTGATCTACAAAGTGAAGAACAACCTCCCAAAGAAAGTACGATTCCGTCTTCTTTGCATCGCAGAAGCCCTAGCCATCCAGTTGGTGGAACCAGAACTATGCATACAAAAGAAAATCATCCAACCACTTCTACTCGCATGGTAACAACTTCGTTGATTTGACCCAACTCTTCTTTGTTTGTTTGATTTGACCTTACTTCTCTTTGTATGCTTATTTTTCTAACTTAAAACCCTTGTGTAATTCTGTATATTATTTTGTTTCCATGTTCACCCTTTGAGTACACCTCATTCATCAAACTATTCATGCCATTGCGTAACTCTTATTTAACAATCATTTATGAAAACTCATCACTTTTGTTACTATCCTCTTATCAACATCCAATTCATTTGAACCTACTAACCGTATTTTCGTTTGACAAATTTAATGTATACACACACACACACACACACACAAAATAACCATATATATTTGCGATTGTACAGCTTTGAAAATGAATTCGCCGGAAAGAGACTTTGCTTAACTACTTGTCTTTTGTCTACATGGCTCAAGATCGTTCCCACTGGCTGGCGCAGATGCATCCACACCTTGTGACTTATGATTTCCAATTAAACTGTTCTATGTCGAAAACCGACCAGATATATATATATATATATATATATATATATATATATATATATATATATATGGTTAAAGAGTATATAAATTGAAGTGAACTTCAAGCAAGTTCACTTATCGGTAGATATTTGTACCAATAGATTAATTGTAATGAGTCATCCTATATTTGTAATGATAATGTCAAACTGTCACTGTTCGACAACATATTTTGATGGTTAGTAATAAAGTCCGAGTAGCTTTTTAAAGAAGCTGTCGGCTAACACAACAAAATGTCCAGGAAAAAAAAGATTGATTTTCTAAACACTTTTTTTTATTCCTTCACGTTCCCAGTGGAATATAGGGCTTCAAGCTACCGGCTTGAAGTTTCTGTAGCAGTGTTTATTTTTACAGGATGAGGTTGCTAGCCTCATGCCCAACTTT